GGGCAGGTGAGTTCGGGACTGTGCCACAGCGGCCTTGCAAATTTGATGGATGGCTCGGACCTTCTAACTCGCAGCAGCTGCCGCCACGCTTCCTGCTGTGGAACTCTGACTTGGGTCTGCGCGCGCGCCTGACCCGCCGCCGCCGCGCCGCTCGCGCTGCCGAGCCCAACTCGTGGCGGCGGAAGCGCCCGCGCTAGGAGAGCGGGAATTTCTTGCGACTCCCCGTTTGGAGTACGGAGGGGGCAGGACGTCTGGTGGGACATTTTGATGCACCGTGTTGAAGGCGGAAGATATCTCGTTACTCTGAAAACCTATGTGTACAACGTGTTACGTTTCTAACATTAAAGCGAGCGTTACTTGCTGCACGCAATTTCATACTTTAGGCTTTTCGTTTCGTGTTAAAAGATCCTGGTGAGGGATCGAAACTGCGTAAGAAACGTTGTGATAATTTGCAACCCGAGGCTAAGGCTGAGAGCACGCAACTATTTAACGCTGTGCGGGTGGGGAGACGGGGGTGGCGCTCATCTTCGGCAATGTTTCTTGTTTTGTCGACGTTGGCTCGCCTCGCTCCGCCCGGGGCGACGCGCCGCCGCCGTGAGCTTGTGATGAACGGGAGGGGGACGCGCGCCGCGCCGCGCCTGGCAGATGAGACGCGTGTAATGGCTGGCTTTTATTCTCCCGGCGCGGCGTAAACGGCCACGTGAGCCCCGCAGGCGTTGGCTGCCGCTGCGCCGGAATATTACGTACGCTTTGGTGGAAATCCAGCTGCACGCGGGGCGCGGGGCGACGCGCGGGCCTGCCCGCCCCCGCCCCGCCCCCTCTCCCTCCCGCAGTCGCGCTGGAAATCCGTTAATCTCGCTGAAAATGGTGCTTCCTCAAACACGGGCAATATTCGCGTACTCTGCAATACGGTAAGCCGCCTGAAGCGAGAGATAATATTCGCTTAATGTTTTGCCCGAGGCTCTCCTCTCCCCATCCCTTCCTGAACATAGTTGCGTGAGCGAGTCGTAATTTATTAGTGCGCGAGTGTTTCTTGCTGCGGGTTTGTCGCCAGTGACGATATCTGATGGTTGAAGTTCCTTCGCGTTCGTGAGTTCTCTCTTTTGCTTCAAGGCGTCTGACGCACCTTTCCGTTCGATGTAATTTAATTCCTTGAAGCTATTTGATGTTTTGTTTATAATTATAAATAATCCCAAAACACGAGGCAGCAAGTGCCCGGATACACTAGTTCTTGAATGATACTTACGGCTTTGCGCCGACGTATAGCGGGTTGCGTCAGGGGACTGCTGTCTGATAACTTTTCCTAACAGATTGCTTCTACCCGCGTGTGTGACAACCTAGCAACTCCTTACTGGTCACTTCAACTGCAAAGCCAAGATAACGCGATATCTATTTTACAATGTGCCCAAATTGTCAACGAACCAATTAAGTTATTAGTGTAGCATTTTATACCGGCTATTAACAGGGAATGCTATGCCTCAAATTGCTCCCTCATGAACTTTTAAAAAGTAATTTAAATAAGATATTAATTTTTCGTAATGTGCACATAAGGCATCTTAGTGTGTCGATGTGAGTCGTTGCTGTGATTTGCAATAGCTGTTAACACACCTACCATTTGCTGAACAATTTAAACATGACGCGTTGTTGTCCCATATATTTGTGCATTATTTCACGATCTTTCGTACCACACTCGTACGTACACTGTGTTATCTACAATCGACCAGCTACACACACATGGCAAAAAATGCGCAATTAGATGATCCCGGGACTTAAGACGTGCAGGCATAGCAGTATTCTGTAAAATGTCTTCAAATGCCAGTGGCACCAGTCGCATTCCGGGGCTTCCAAACTCTGTCAGCCTTCGCCGCGCCGCTGTAACACCAAGTCAGCAGCATTTAAGCGAAGCTCAGTGCTTTGTAATCACGAAGCCCGGTCCACGGAAAGGACTTTGGGCGGCCGCGCGCACGGAATCCCGCACGCGGACTCTTTCCGGGGGGGGGGGAGGTTACCTGCCCCTCCCCTTCCGCCAAGACGCGGCGCTGCGTTGCGGAGGGCGACGGAAGTCCGCGGTATTGTATGCTTTTTCCCCGCTGCGCCCAGCTGAGGTAGCGCGCGTCCCGGGGGAAATTTCTGGTAAAATTCCCCGCGCCCTGGCTTACCCCGCCCGCCGCCTCCACCTGCCCTCCGCCGCCGCGAGATTAAATAACGACGGCTTCTCCCCCGCGCTGTTTGTGGCGACTGCGGCGCCGTTACTCCCCTTTATTGGGCACGGACGGGCAGTGAGTGGCAGGGACGGGGGGCGGCGTGGAACGGATGCGTGTCGGACGCTTCTCTTGGGAGCTGCATTTCTGTGCCTGTTCGTATTCGTAATATGAAAGAAATCAGGCATCGTTTGCAGTACTAACCTATCAGATTAATGTAGTTTTGTAGATGGAAGTGTTGTGTTTAAGCAGTTTCAAGCGGAAGTATTCTCTCTGCAGGCTGTTATTTGATAATTTGCTTTGCTTGTTGCAGATCTTCACTCGGTTTGGAAAGGTGTTGAAGATCGTGACATTCACTAAAAACAGTAAGTATAATCCTGTATTAATTTAAAACAATACGCACAAAAATAATGAATGCGAACATGAAATATCAACTACCTTGCACCACTTATCCCCTCTCTTTTTCTCGTCTTTCTCCCCTCCCCCTCTTTCTCTCTCTCCCACTCTTCCCTCCCTCTACGGGTCATTAATTCTCCTAGGGATAAGTAGCCCGCCGTTCATGTAGATAATGTAAAAAAGACTGAATAACTTGAACATCAGTGATGTGTGGCCTGCTAAACTTGAAGACTATTTGGCGGTAAATCCTGAAATTTGCTTTTTGAAGTGCATATTGCATTCCTGTAAGCGTTTTGCTTGGATGTTCTGTTCTGAAGTCACAACTAAGTTAACGAAACTCAATCTCATCGTGGAAGCTTGCGTGCGCGTGATGTCATTTATTGTTGGAGTCTCCTCTCCTCTGCACCTCCATCTTGGCGCTGTGCCTGCGGATTGTGTGTGGGCGCGGGAGCAGCGGGGTGGGAGGGCGGGCGAGGCGAGAGCTTGGTCAGAGAACGTAGTGGAGAGGGGTTTAGGCGGAGGGCGGGAAGGAGAGGAGGCCGGAAGGGAAGAGCGTGCGGGAATGTTTCAGCGGCGGCGGATTGCGACGGGACGCGCGGCGCCGCCAGCGGCACCGGCAGCTTTGTTAAATTGCTGCTTCATTATTAAAGAGCGCGTGAATGTTTCACGCGCCGGACGGATGCGTTTTTGCGACTGCTTCGGACAGTGGGCGCAATCCCCGTCGCGCTGCATTGTTAAAAGCGACGCCGCTCGGACGTAAATGGAGACATTTTCCGTTGGTGCATCTTTAAGAGCCCCGCCCCGCCCCTTGTCTTCTCGCGCCGTGTCCGAGCACTCGCCTGAGCCGTTTCGGAAAGCAGCTTCCCTTGCTCTGACGGGCGGCGGATGGAAAATCGACGACTCCCCGGGTCACACCGCCCGGTCTCCCCTCGAGTCGAATATAGCATTTTCTAAATGATCTGCTCCAGAAGTCCGTTGTCAACGTTATACGCGATGTTGAAATAATAAGAATGCCCTTTCGAGGAGATTATTTACTTGGAGCTATTCACTTGAAAATTTTCTGTGGCGTTCTGGGATATGAGTGTAAAAGATTAGCGACCCTACATGGTGAAATAAACATGATTTTTTGCATTTTGATAATTCTGTCCGCAAAATCGCATGGCAGGGAATCGCAGAATCCCTCTCCTACCACTATTGGGCGAGTAGCTAACACGCTAGATATAGTTTCATTGATTCGCCCATTTCGACGCTGAAGGTCGAACCTCGTTCAGAACAAAGCGGTCGTTCTGGTTTGAAAGGTTGGTCTCGATTGAAGTGGGTTGAGAAGTCACTAAACTCACGGGAAAGATCATCTCTCTACAAACTATTTTTAACACATTAAGGAAGCATAAACATCACTGATGCAGTGGTTTTGTATGAAGATACTTCCTCGCAGGTTAATATTTTGTAGGGTGACAAAATCCGAAGTTGTGGCAATTTATGAAAACGTAAGTAGTAGCCCGTTTGTACCGCTGCGGCAACCGCACATAGTTTCCAACATGAGGGGGAATGGAAAGCCTTGGAGCTTCTGCTGCGTGTGCTTCGCGCGTGAGTTCGCCTCGACGCTCATTGGCCCGAGCGCCGCCTCGAGTTCTCGCAGCGGATCCGATCCTCGCCCCTTGTCCCGCCCCGCGCGCGGCCGACAGGCTTTCCCCGGGGGCAGCGGCGTCACCGCCGACTGACAGGCCGCCGCCAGCCCCCGGGGGCGGCAGCCGGCTCCTCCAGGGCCCCGCCCCCGCCCCCGCCCCGCGCCCCGCCCCGCCCAGCGGGGAACTTACCAAACATCTGGGGCGCCTTACGCAGCCCCCCCCCCCCCTCCCGGCGCGGGTAGGCGGCGTCCGAGTCTTTCGCTCGCAGCGCGTTTGCGGCTGGCCTGGCCTGGCCTCGCTGACGCCGCCTTTGTCTCTTGTGTTGCAGACACGTTCCAGGCTCTGATCCAGTATCCAGACGTCGTGACTGCCCAAGCCGCCAAGCTGGTAAGTGGCCGCCCTTTGCGCTCGCCCGCGCTAATTTGCAGAGGCGCAGAGCGGAAGGGTCGCTGCTGCGTGCGCCGCTCATTTGGCGCCGTCGAATTCCGCGCGCGCTTACGCGACTGCCTCGCCGGCGGCGTCGGGTCGCGCCCTTTTGCGGTTGCGGTATTGCTCTGTTGATGGCAAACTACAGGAAACAAAATGCCCTTGAACTAGAATTTCTTGTAATTGAAGCCTGTAGATTCATTTTGTTCGGCTTTAGAGGTGTAACCGTATTTTATGTTTTTAAATTTTATGACGAAAAGTGTTGTTTGCAAGTAGAAGAAATGTTATCTCGTCTATAGCGTAAAAGCCTCCTTCACTCATGTATGAAAACTTTGTGAAGAATTTCGGTGGTGACTAATTTAGATCTTGACTAAAGTTTAACAGTTCGCGAATTTAGTCAAAATGTTATACAATAGCTTTCTCTTGTAGTTCACGAAAACATGGAACTGGGAATTACGCACCTTAGGAAAGTTCTAGAATGCAATGGATTCAGTATTTCTCAATCACTGAAAGGGCCTATGATAGCTAATCCTTCTAAAGGAAGAATGCAAGAAAAAAAGAAAATTAAGAGAAGGAATATATATATATATATATATATATATATATATATATATATATATATATATATATATATATATATATATATATTCCTTCTCTTAATCACACATACTTAATATACACACACTGAAAGTGTAAGCTCCTTGCGTGTACACAATGGGGCAGGTTTCCTAAAGACTTCAGTCCCCTCCTAGTCCACAGCGTGTGCTGTGTGGGGCGCCATGGGGGTCGATTTGGCAAACGCGAGTGGCGGACATTTGTTTATTTTGTGCATTGCACGGGTGGGCGAAGGCTGTCGCCTGCTCGGAGGACGTTTTTGGCGTTTTGTCAGGATTACGGGATTATTGTTGGGGCGATGGGAAATCCATGCATATTGCAGTTCGATTGGTGTATCTGTGGGCGGTCGGGGGGGGGGGTCATTGCCTATAGTGCAAGCGCCGATTGCGCAGCTTTCCCTCTCCTCTTCCTTTCTCTTTCCTCCCCCTTATCACAGCTCCTTGAAGCTATGTGGCAGCGCCCATGAACTTCTTTCTATGCCACATGAATTGTCATGTTCATACTTGCGATTTGGTTCGTTGAAAACGAATTGATTTGATACAAACATTTATAGAATACTTTTAGCAGCTGTATATTCTGATTGTAAAGCTACGGGTATTGATTTCGTTGCGCCAGTATTTCTGGAATTGTATTTTTTGAGACAATCTCTTCTTTCGAATTCCAGTTTTTACGTTTCTCGGTATCTCAGATCGGTTTCTCAGATTTATGTATTCCTGCAATAATTATAGATTACTCTGTAAATGGAGTTTACACGTGTTGTAGGAGTACCTCGCTTTCTCTTAGTAGCTAGCGCGAGCAACTGCTTAACGCGATGAACGCGCGCCTTGTCTGCAAAGCTACTGCCAAGGAGCGCTGTGCGCACCGCCGAGTGGGACCTGTGGAGCCAGCGGAGCCGGCGGTTCTCCGTGCGCGCGCGAGGGAAGTTTTGAGTCGAGCCGCGCCGCGGCGTTCAAAGGGGCTGTGGCGGGGACGGAGCGGAGCGGGGTGAGGTTCGTTTGGGAGGGCGTGGGCGGCTAAACAGGCTAATTAAGAAAAGCTTGTCGTGAAACTCGGCCCGCGGCGCCCCTGGCGGCTGACGCCGGCTCTTCGACGAATGGCGGTCACAGCCGCTTCCACAATGCGACACAAGGGCCGCTCGAGGCGCGTGCTGCCTCGTTGAAATTGCGCCACGACGCGGCCGACGTAAGGTCTCTGTCGCGCACAGTAGAAGCAGATTTTTACGTCAGTGGTGAAGTTCATTCGTCGCCCGCCGTACGTACGCATTTGAATTTAAATCTGATTTCATATTCGTATTCTTTGTACCTTATTATTTCGGCATAAATATCTTTCCGTAGTGTTTCCTTTTTGTGGCCCAACGTTACTACTTCATCCGCATCTGACAAACTTTTGTAATGTTGCTTTCTATTGCTCAGTTTTCAGTTGATAAAATTTGCTCTCAGGAATTGTGGCGTTATAGCAGTTTTTTACGTCAGTGTTCGTCATTCTATTACATGTTCAGAATATTAATAGTCGGATAGTAAAGGACGAGACGTATGGAAAGTTCCGTAAATATACTTACGAATTACGGGAATAGAATGAGAAAGGTTGCGATGATATTAGTTTCAGCTGGAGGCAACATTCTTGAATTGTTAAATCGCGAGTATTTGGCGTCCTGGAGAGCAATCTCAAGATCTGTGGCGATCCGAGTGGCGCGCTTCGCCCGTTTACAATGCAGCCGGCACTTCCTAGCCCCGCCCTCGCGGCCTGCGTGTGCTCCCTCCGGTTGCGCGCGCGCTGCGCCTCGTGGCCCTTTGTGCCAGGGGGGGGGGAGCACCTGGGAGCGCCGCCGCGTGCTAATTATCGCGCGGAGTCCGCCCGCATCCGCCCGCCGCGTGGATAAATCGCGCAGCCGCCTCTGCTCCTATCTTTACATGTTTATTTCCTTATCTTAATTTAAAAAGCGCCCGCGCCGCCGCCACCGCTATCTCGAGCGGCCGAGTTGGTCAGGCTGTCTTTCGGTCTGCTTCTCGGCGCTAAAATTATCTCCGACGCAGTATCTTCTCGCATGCGGCGCCCTCTCCTCTTGCGTTTTGTTTTTGAGCGCGATCTTCATGGTATTGCTTTCCCGCTTTGCGCGCTAGAGTGAGCGCTGCCGTTTTTGCCTCTGCATTTGTTCTTTAAATTCACGCAAAATCCGAAGTATAGGAACCCAACTATACGAAGAATGGTTCTATGAGCATTAAAATTCTGACGTTGGAAATATTTAATTTGATACAATTTTAATTTAATCTAGAACGGAATTTCTGTTGAAAGTACATAATTAATTGCGGGCCGAAAGGAATTGTGCGTGAAGCTCTTCGTACGGCGCAATATTCTGATCTCGAAAAATCTAAATAAATCAAATCCTGTAGCACCAAATTTAAATCTGAACCTGTGTTGAAATTCCTCAGGCACAAATATCCTGAAATATAGTTTAAACTAAGGAGTGGAGCACTTTGCTTTGTGCACGAAGCTTCGCTATCTCCGAAGCAACGCCAAGGGAGGGGCGGGTAGAAACGCGAAAGGAAACAGCAGTGCTCCAATCGGGGATCGTCTTGCAGCGAATGATGTGTGACATTATGCACTTCCAGTGTTATAGTCGCATGTAGCAGCATCGGGCTTCGGCCATCGTGGCGGAAAGTCTAATGGAGAGATGTAGTCAGTGCAGATAATTTTATGCTTATTTCCTTTTCGCATGGCCTGGTGACGGTAGTTTGTTTGCTAATGCAGCAATGTAAGAACGAAAATTTGAGACTCAGCAAAAAGACAGGCTTAACACCATGCCGAACACCAACCTGTGTATAAAACTGCAATAGAAACAAGAATTATATCTGGATTGTACTTTTCCCTTCACTTGTACAAGTTCTGCTTCCATTGGTAGAACATACCATGCATACAATATGCACCATTCAAAAGATACGTATACGCAGTCGCTTGTATAAAATCTGCATACAAGGAATCTTTTTGAAGTAACTGAACTTTTCTGAAGAATCTTTAGAGCATTGTTTATGACCGAGCACGTAAAAAATGTATTAAGTGCTAGACGTACAGCGACATTCGTAAAAAAGTACGCGGGTATGTTCATGTACATTTACGCGATACTCCCCCCCCCCCTCTAAAAAATTACTCACGTAAAAATGCTGTCCTTGTGGCCGTGGAGCCCCACAGCTGGCTCAACTTTTGCATGGCAAGTGCGCATTCCATTGGCGGGCGCGTCCGGTCACATCCGCGCGGACTTTCGCCAATATTTAGTGCGGAGGCCGAGTTATTCCGATGTTTGGGGCGAGGGAGCGCAGCCCCGCCGCACGGCCTATATATTATCCCCGGAGCGCAATTTTCTGGCCGGTCGCGAGGCGATCAAATAACGCAACGGTGCGACGCTTGTTTTGCGGCGGTGCTGTTTTCATTTAAAACCTTAGTCCGTGCCATTATCAGCTCGCAAGGAAGCACTCATTAGATCAAACTATTCATGGAATATTAAAGTTCTCATAACCTGTGTGATCGGTTTTTGCTAGAGAGGATGCTTTCGAAACGAAATATTCATCGTATTTCCTGCCGTAAGAAGACGCAAATACGGCCGCTGAAGACTTTGTTTTCAGAACGCAAGACCCGATGTTAAAATCCCGCCCGGCTTCTGTTTCAGTCGCTGGACGGCCAGAACATCTACAATTCGTGCTGTACTCTGCGCATTGAGTACTCCAAGTTGACGAGTCTGAACGTGAAGTACAACAATGACAAGAGCCGCGACTACACCAACCCCAACCTGCCCACCGGCGACCCGGGGCTGGACGCCGCGGCGGGGCTGGCCGGGCTGGGCGGTGAGTTAATCCCGCAGCTTCTGCTGGGGGCTGCCGGACGCCCCCGGGGCCCGCCCCCTCCAGGTAGTGCTAGCTCGCTTCCCTCCCGTTGGGAGGAGATTCTAACTCTTATTAGATCATTTTTCTTAATCCATCCTCCACTGAGGACAAGTGCATGATCTTGATGTTATTTTGTTTACTTACTTGTTTTAATCATATACTTTTCCTCATTCTTTAAATTTTATTTTAATATTCTACTTCGTTATTAAAGTGCATCACATAAAAAATGGTGGCAGGTGCAAACATTTGGTTCTGTCTTCTGTCTTTCTTGTACGCTTGTTCTTCTTTAGGTAGTGTTCATTTGTATGTCCATTGGTTTGTTTTTAATTATTCATTTGTTTGAGACCTTTTTCTTCACTCTTCATTTTTCTCAGAAATCTGTTTTCTTGCTCATTTCCACTGATTTGTGGTTTCCAAAAGCAGCTGTTGAGGCAAAAGTGTGAAAAACTGTAATTGAGTTCCTAAACTACTGATTGCAGTGTACAAATCACAAAAATAACCAGTAAATGATAGTTATAATTTCTGGAATAAATCTTCCACAATTCATATTCCATAATTTCTCACTTTTCATGAGACATCTTGAATCAACAACCCTACTGTAGGCAACACTAACTTGGATATTGTGTCAGGTGCTCCAGGCGTGTTGGCATCACCATTTGCTGCCATGCATGGACTTGGCTCACCACTCACCTCACCATACAGTAATTCTGCAGTGGGCAGTCTAGGAGGTACGTTATATTGTATTATTAGAACCTCCTCATTGCACTGCAGCAATTCGCCTTGTTCTCTTTTAACAGTACCATTTCTCTTCTGCTCTTGTTCTTTATCTCATTCTCCCTGTGGCTCTAGTTTTTAGCTTTCATTTCTTGAAACTCATTAAGCTCTTTGTCTCTTGTTCTTAACCACTTTCTCACTGTCCTCTTCGCTCTTGTTCTTTAGCTATCTCTTCTTCGAACTCGTTAATAAGCGCTCTCGCTCTTATACTTCACCATTTTCTCTCTCTCTCTCTCTCTCTCTCTCTCTCTCTCTCTCTCTCTCTCTCTCTCTCTCTCTCTCCTCCCCCCACGCTCTTACTCTTAATGCCTCTTTTGCTGTCGTTCTTAACACCTCTTCCAATCTTGATCTCTCTTTTTTGATATTGTTCACTTCCACTCACTCTTTCTCTCTCACTCTTTCTTTCTTTCTCTCTCACTCTTTCTTTCTTTCTCTCTCACTCTTTCTTTCTTTCTTTCTCTCTCACTCTTTCTTTCTTTCTTTCTTTCTTTCTCTCTCACTCTTTCTTTCTTTGTTTCTTTCTCTCTCACTCTTTCTTTCTTTGTTTCTTTCTCTCTCACTCTTTCTCTCTGCCCCTTTTCTCTTTCCTCCCTTCAGTTCCCTATCTCCTCACATACTTCCTCCCCTTCTGCTTGAACGTTTACACAAACAAGCAGTCTCATTCACTGTGTGTTCACGGTACACTTTCTTATTGCTCACTTCTTCTCTGCTCTCTGCAGTCTCAAACTATCTTCATGTGTTGATATCTTCAATGTAGTTTTTCGCGTTCTGTAGAAGGCAACTGAATCATCTTCCTGTTTTCTTAATTTTTGTGCCAATCTAGGTGTAATATTTGGTCATATTTCTGCAAAAGTAATTGGTAATAAATAATGTTGAGAAGTTCATTCTTCTAGCTGTTAAAACTACACTGCTGTGTATGCATTTGCACCTGTACCTGTACTACTCTCTACTCCATGTTGCTCAAGCTTATCACGACAAAATAGTATGAATATAAAAGAGTGTACTAGCAGAATATCCACAAATTTGTTGGCATTTTCCTATTATTAAAGAAAACATTATTTTCGGTATTCTTGGGAATCATTGCAAACTGATTTAAAGATTAGTATTAACATTCACTGCATTTTTTAATATGTACTTTTTTTTTTTTTTTCTCTCTCTTTTTTTTTTTCTCCAGATGATACACTTTGCAAATTTACGTTTTTTGGTTGTGAGACAAATGGTTTGCGTAATTAGGTGTCTTTGATCCTGTTGTAGCTCCAGGCATGCCACTGGCAGGTTTCCAAGTACCAGGTGCTGCTGCTACAACGGCATTAGGTGCTGCAGGCATACGCCTTCCTGGCACTATCAGTGCCACTGGCTGTGTGCTACTTGTCAGCAACCTGAATGAAGAGGTATGTAGAGTTCTGAGAGAACAATTTGCAGTTATCTGTTGATTTAAGGTGCAAAAGCAGATTTCAATTTGACAAATTGTGTCAAAACTGTTCCATCTCTTATTATGTCCTTGGCAAAAGGATTTCAACATTATCTGGAATGTGAACCAAGAATTTTTGTGTTTTCATCAATCATCCTATCAGTTAGTCAGTATGAAATTTCCATTTTGCAAACCTTACTGCGTTTTCCCGTTTCAATAGTGAAATATGATTTGTGAATAAATTGTACAGATATTCTGAAGAAATTTATCAATTAAAAATTAACTATTTATTGATACATGGAGTACTGTCAGGTGAAAGTTTAAATTCTAAAAAGTACAATACGGTTAAAATCCAACTTTTTAAGTACTCAACCCAATGTAGCTTTAATTCTATAATCTAAGAGTAAATTCCATAATCTAAGAGTATTTGGGGAACGATAACCAGAAAAGTATTAATTACTTATTTTATTCAACCAGATAATAAAATTCTAATAATACATTTGTTAAGTAAGCACACCCCCAAATAATGGGAACAGACCAGTTTATAAAACCATTTAGCAAGGGCAGGTGTAATAATTTCATTTGATTCTTATTTCTTTCTTAGGAATTTGTGTATGCATTAATTTATTTCCTTCCAATCTTTTCAGCAGCTAGTTTTCTTTTAATTCTTTGTAGAGTTGGATATAATCATGTTCCCTATCTTTAAACAACCCTTAACTTGCAAAAGTCATCAGTACAGTAGCCATGTTCTTTGTATGCTGTTTATTATTTTCTACTGCCTTTACAAATGCACATGGTACAGTATTTCTTTTGACAACCATATTATAATGTAATTCTGTGTCAAATTCCTGTTTAGTTTTGCTTATTTGTACTCCTAATATATAGAGACAGTAATTCGAATGTGAAAACATTTTGATTTCATGATAGACAGGAATAAAAGCTTGCAGGTCTTCCTTCACAAAACTAAAGAAAACAAAACAAAACAAAACAAAAGTTTTGTTTGTGCTCATTTTTTCTTCCATTTTCATAATTTATTTAAATGCTTGTCTATTTCTGTTCGAATGTTCATCTAAAAATCTGTAACTCCTATTTCATTCATCAGCCTAGTTTTTTATGTTATTGTTATTATTATTATTATTATTATTACTATTATTATTATTATTATTATTATTATTACTATTATTATTATTATTTTTATTATTATTATTATTGGCGTATAGACCATTACTGACCACTCTACACGATTAACGTGTGCAATTCTTCCAGGATCAGCTTTTCAGCTGTATCTTTGGATTACAACAAGGTTGTTATGCCTTAAAGTGTGAATTATGAGATGATAGGTTGATGATGAGGGGTGAAGGGACAATCACAAATACGTCCATGTCTTACGCAGGACTCGAACCTGCAGCCTCCCCAGCATAGACGACGGCTGCCGCAACCGTGTGCGCCACGGTGCCGACTACTACTATTATTATTATTACTATTATTATATTATGATTATGATTATTGGTACTTTTTTCCAAAATTTATATTCTGCCTAAGCTTTATGTTATCTCTTGGTAGTTGAAGCCCATTTATGTGGTGTTCTACTTCATGTTGCATTAACTCATTCTACATGTGACATTTCTTAACATTGCATTTCTGTATTCATGTGTGCATTCTATTTTTTAATATTAGGGTATTCTTTTTGATGAAATAATTTCAGCTCAATTTGGACTAAAAAGGCTTGACGATTTTATCAAAAGCCTTTCAAATCTTTTTAAGACTTTTTAAATTTTTAAGACATCCAAAAATTAACTTTTTCCTGAAAACAGACAATTTTCTTGAAAACTACTCGTTTTCACTTTCTCGCATTTACTTTGTAAGAAGATTAAGTATTGTAATACTGTGCCATATAACAGCGAATTTTCAACAAAAATACTTATTGATGGCCCCTGGTAACGAAATGGTGGATAAATCTTATTCCTCCTATATATAGTAGATAACTTCCGTAATGAAGTAATGTAGTTATTATCCATGTTTTGTGGGTCCTCAATACAGAAAAATCAATTGACTGCAAAACACCTGTGTTAGCATCCACAATCTATCTGTGGTGAAAGCTTGTAGCAACCACAATCACTGTCTGTAGTGAAAGCTTGTGCCTAAACCATTAAGCCAATTTTCCCCAAAATTGATATTCCTTGATCAATATAAAGGAACTTGAGGCTTTCAGACTTCAAAATGGGTATTTTGATTTTTTCAAGAACTTTTTATATAACCTCAATATTTTTCAAATTTTTCTCAAAAGAAGCTCTAAAATAAACTGTTTCCTCTGATATCATAAAGGATGCTTGAAATGTTACTCCGAAAATTACTGAAGTTCAATTTTTTTCCCCGGCATCTTCCTACAATAATATTGAAGATATTTTTTTTTCCAATGAAATCTTTTCTTTAAGGACAGGTCTTGAAATAAGGTCCTGAAATACTTGAAATAAGGTCAAGAAATACAATTTCTTGGAAATATGAGTAGTTTTCGTGTAATTCTGTGGAGGGAAAGAAAAAAACATTGTAAAAAATTTTTTTCTCAAAAACTACTCCAAATTTGATGTGAGCTTCTTGTCTTAAATGAGATTTGTTGCAAAAATTTAGCTGGTTAAAAAGGGTATTGTAGAAATTTTTGTAAAAAATGAGTTTTCAAAAAACACTACAATATTTTTCCATGAATACAAAACAAAGGGCTTTAAAAAAAGGCTCAGGTTTCATTTTTGTTCAACATTGAAGTTTAAAAAATTGCAAATTTAGAAATAAAGGGAGAAAGTACGTGCAATTGGAGCGTCTAGTTTTTATTTAATTAAATTGTCCTTCTGATATTCATCTGCTATTTTTAAGTCATTTCAACATTTTCTTTTCAGTTAAAAAGACCTATCTCAAAAATTAGAACACATTAATGAATCAAGAAAATAGATTATACAATAATAAGAATTCATATTTAATTTTTATTTCGAAAAGTTTTGTAAAGAAGTTAGACTTAAAGTACATATATAAATGAATCAAACCAATATACATATCACAATGGAATTGAAAAGACCCTCTAATCAATATCAATGAAAAATATGTATGGGGAATGGGATAGTATGGCAACATTCTGTCGGTTAGACTGAAATAGTGGCAGGATTACATTGTCTGTATCGAAGAAATGGTGAGACATGACCGTTTTGAGGCAGAAACTAAGAAAGGGGCTCAGATACCTTTGATTTCTTCTATGAAACACAATGATTTCATCTTAACTGGATGTATTCCTGCAAGATGAATGAGAATTATAAAAATGTAGTGGAAATTAACTACACATGAATATGGGTGATTCCCTTCTCCTATAATTGCACTGTTCCATAAGGTGCTGCCAATTTTCCAGGCTCCAAATCCCTGGGGAAGTTCTTGCAACTGTCAACTTAGGAAGAAACTTCAATTTTCTTTTACAAGCAAATATTAATAAAATCCCAGAAACATTTTTTAATGAGATGTGTTGCTCTATATCAAACAAATTATCTACATTGATCCATATATACCTCTTTCTTAAAATAAAAGTAAGACCACTGATGTAAATAATTTAAAACTTGCAGATTTTGAAAAAGAACCCAACAATCAAAATTATTGAAGATGAGTTTATGCAACAGTAAACAAGTCTTGAATATGTTTTCCACATTTAGGCAAATTTCAAGGATGAAACCACATTTATATTACAGAAACCTGAATTAACCAATAAGTTCTCAAGAACATTCTTAAGTTACAAAGAACATTCTTAAATGAATCTTATCTTTCACTGGTTGAGTTTTATCGAATTTACTCGATTTTGCTTAATCTCGCACATGCATAAGGTTTCATGAAAGTGCATAAACTTGAGCACTACTACACTAGCAATGAGTCTAGTAGTTTTTATTTTGATTGGTGCCATATCAATTATGTACATTTTTTAACAATTTAATAAAGCCTCTATTAAAAAGCAATTATAAGTGTTCAATTTGGAATAGTTTTAAGTTAGTAACAAAGTTGAAAAATCTAATTTGTAACGGGTTGAATCCCAATTTGCATCTAGTCTCATTGAATTTTGAGGTTATTTACCCCCACTATTCCTCATGAAATATTCTAGCAAATAAGGCAATATTGAAAAACAGAATTTATTTTTAATTTAATAATAATAATAATAATAATAATAATAATAATAATAATAATAATGATGATGATGATGATGATGATGATGATGATGATGATGATGATGATAACGTTAATAAATAGAAATCTACAGTGAGATTGAAGGCATTCTCCTTTGATGGAATATTTAAGAACCTTGATGAAAAAATTAGTGTTGTGGAAATTAGAGTGAGAAGAGTTAAAAAATTTAGAATTCTTGTTTCGTGTAAATATGTTAATGTCACCCTCCTAATTCTTCCTTATACTGAGATATACACTACTATCAAATTTCGAAGAGGAAGATAAGTTGTTTGGATGTTATGATTTATAGAACCATCTCCAAAATATGTACTGATTGGTACATGAAACCAATTTATGCAGGAATTACTCTTCATTATTTTTCCAAACCACCCCCTGCAACTATAAATATGATACTTTGGTGTACAGTTGATAAATCTGTAAACTAGCATTTCTTCAATTTTGTGCAAAAACTTAATCAAAGTAGGTGAAATTTAAGTTATAATGTATACCCTCCCTGATTTATTTATAGAATGATTGTAATCACATCTAGCAAAATCAGTGCTGCCCAATTTTCTCAAAGTGATAGATCCATTTGCCTTGTGAATACAACTAGTAATACTATTTGCTTATTGTATAACTCACAAATTAGTAGAATACTGAAGATCAAATTAAAAACAATGTATATTATCACTATTAAAAAATTGTGGTTATCAACCTTAAAGATATTGAAAAAGAGACATACTTTAATTTATTTTATAAAAAATGTGTTCCTTGTTAGTCCAAGAGGAATACTAAGAATAAATAGGTGAAAAACAAATGCAATGTAGGAGATGGACAGCTACCAAAATTCTGTTACAGTTCATAGATTGAATATCTTACATGACCTTTTTAAGGCGCTGAAATTTGCCTAGAGAAAATCATTACTCTCGTACTATTTTGGAAACTTCACATAAATAAACTATTATATTTTTAACTTTCAAATTGAATCAATTTTCCTGTATTTATGATAGTCTTCAGTAATTTTGGTCTTCTCAAGTGAGTTGTTCTTACTCTAGTGTATCATTCTTAATCTCCCTCCACCTTCTCTCTCCATGCTCAGAACTCAGAACTGTGTAACCTTTGAGGCCACTCAGAAACTTGCTGCCTCGCATAGTGTAGGTGGTCACGTCTGGCCATCAGATTTACTACAGATAATGTAATCCTGATGCTATTTCAGACTAACTGACAAAATGTTGCTAGACTGCCATTCTGCCATTCAAATTCCTTTGCAATGTGTACATAGATTTAATGTCGGTAATGGTGTTTAGATCTAACTTGCATATAAATTGTGTATTGAAATATAGCTCTCAGTATAGTGTACTACATCTGCCTAAATGAACTTGGTTATTAAAAAAAAAGTATGGTTTTGTGCTTGGCATTTGTGTTGAAGCACAGAAACTGGAATGAAAACATCAGTATTTCTAGGCCAAATCAATTTTTTTAAAATTAACTTTAAAGTATATAATTAAATATGTTCGGAGTGATGTAATTTAAAGTAAAATTTTGTGAAGTGAATTGACAATTCAGTACTTTATGAACTTTGGTTGTCACGTGAACTAATTCTAGCAAGTTCAGTTAGGTACTCTTCAACTAAGAGATCAACAAAATTTCTGTTGTTGCTTTGCAAAATGGTGACTTCTATTCCACTCCCCATACACTTTCCATGAACTTTTACATATAACATGAAAATTCTGAATCACTAATAGTTTCATTTTTATTTTTATATA